GTGAACCGCTAGAATTCAATCGACCGAGTAGTCAAGAGCAAGATCATAAGAGTTTTTACCTGGGTTGGAGGTGACCGCATCTTCCATCTCCTCGTCTCGGTACTGGTAAGAAGAGGTTCCTGATGTAGCAGCACTGCAAAGGCCCGCACCCAGTCGGTTATGTTTTGTTGCTTGAGTCGACGAAAAGAACAAGTCAGATGATTACCCGGAGATGGTAGGGACGGTCACTTTGATCCTGGACAAAGCCTTTGGCAGTTTGGAGGAGGTGGCTTTCGGTGCTTTTGGCGCTGGAGGCGGCACAACCTTGGGCTGCTTCGGGGCCTTCTCAATCGGTGCTGGAGAAGACGTCCAGGGCGCTTCGAAGACTGCCCAGTCGGCGCGGTCGCCAGGTCCGGGGTGCTCGTCGGGTCGTGAGCGTGCTTGGATCTTCTCTCTCTGCGAGGAGGCGAGTCGACCTCTTTGTCATCAGTCGAGTCCTCGCTCTCCTCGTCCTCCTCGGCATCTGAGTGCCACTCGCCGCTCTCGCCCCTGCTCGCCCCTTCCTCGACGTCTTGCCCCTGCACTCCATTGGGCATCGAGTACATGTCGACGAGGGCCAGAAAGGACAACGATCGAAAGGAATTCAGTCGACCATCAACAAGGTGTCACACAAAGAATCAAGAAGATACTCGACAAAGCAGAGTCATACCTGTTCCGGCTGGCGTGAGTGGTCGAATGGAATCACCCTCCTAGACCCCCGGGGATTGTCTTTGTTGCTGGTGCTTCCCTTCAGCCACTTCTCCAAGGTGTCTCCGCTGACGTCCTCCGGGTGGATCCGAGTGGAGTCCTCAAGCCCCGAGTACATCCACATCGGATGGTCACGGGCCTGAAGCGGTTGGATGCGTCGACTGAGAAAGACCTCCAGTAGGTCCATCCCAGTCACCCCGTCGCGGACAAGTTGGATGACCCGCTCGACCAACACCTTGACCCGCGCCTTCTCTTATGGGACTACCCTCAAGGAGGAGGGCTTCTCCACTCGAGCTAGGGAAAAGGGAGGAAGTCCAGTCGACTGGCCCGGAGTCGGCTGGTCCTTACAGTAAAACCAAGTCGACTGCCAGCCCCGGACCGAGTCAGGAAGGATCATCGCTGGGAAGGTGCTCTTGTTCCTCATCTGGATCCCCAGACCCCCGCACATCTGGATCACGTGCGTCCTCTCATCACTCAGATTTGCCTTTTTGACCGTCTGGGAGCGGCAAGTGAAGATGTGTTTGAAGAGACCCCAGTGCGGTCGACAACCCAAGAATTTTTCACACATCGACACAAAGGCAGCCAGATAAACTATGGTGTTTGGAGTGAAGTGGTGAAGTTGAGCCCCGAAGAAGTTCAGAAAGCCACGAAAGAAAGGATGGGGAGGCAGAGAAAACCCGCAATCGACGTGGGTGGCGAGGAGGACGCACTCACCCTCCCGCGGCTGCGGCTCGGTCTCGTTCCCCGGGAGCCGCGCCGATTTGTGGGGGATCAGTCCCCCCTCCACCAGGTCGTCGAGGTCGTCCTGGCTAATCGTCGAGCGCATCCAATCGCCCTGGATCCAGCCCGGCGGCAGGCCGGATCTTGACGAGGATCCGCCCGACTGGTCCTCTTGCCCTTCGCCTTCGCGGTCGCCTTCTTCGCGCGCTCCAGCGCCACCGTCTTCTCTTTTCCCATGTCGACGGATCGAGTTCGAGCGAGGTTTCGACGCAGAGAGCGGAAGCATGCGTGGCTGAGAGGTCTGAGGAAGAAGAAAGAGAATGGGAGCGCGCGGTGCAAAGACCCGGTCCAGTACCTTTTATAAGGTCATTCCTCGACTGACTGACTGGTAGGCCCAGACGATCTAAACAAATCCCGCAGCAATCAAGCGCGCAATACGTGGCGAAAAAGGTGGCGCGGAGATCGAGGCGACCTGCCTAATCCGTCCCGATTACCACGGCCTCACCCGTCCGGCGCGCTTCCCAAAATTCGAATCCCACGAAATCCGCGGAGAGCAGAGCAACTTGTCAGACTGAAAACGTCCTCCACATTATCATTCGGAATTCTACCGTAAAAATTCACTCGACAAAAACCAAGAATGACCAAGGCGACTGAAAAAGAAGTTGACATTGTCTCCTCAGTTCATGGCTCCAGAACAAGTTATACTCACAACACGAAGAATGAGTCGGAAGTGTTCCCAACTCCTTCCCCACTCAAACCCTGATCCATTCGGGGGCTAATGACGAAGCTATGTACCTAGGGTAGAGTCATGGATCTGTTCAAGATACCCTCCCCAAGGACATCTCTAAAAGCACCAGAAGCAGTCGAAGAAGAGGTCATCATCCACTCGACCATAAAGCCATGTTTCACTCGACATTCTTGAGGACACTCGACCATGCGAACAACCACTCGACTACCAGAAGATGGAGAACCTCTCACTCTGCAACGGTCAGGATTAAGTCATAGTTTTAACAATCATTTATAGCACTTTACTTCGGTCGTTACCAGTAATGCTCCTTCTTTATGAACATTGAACCCTGTGTAATGGAGGGGAGTTGGGGTCCTGGCGCACTCTAAATAAGCCGCCCCCTCCTCCGAGACAAGGGTTCGCACCCCCTGTAACTCACACACATATATCCAGTCGACCGCCTCCGGGCTCCGAGACGTAGGGCTGTTACTTCCTCCGAGAAGGGCCTGAACTCGTAAAACTCACGTGTACAACTCCTCCATAGCTAGGATCTTGCCTCTATATACCTACCCCCCATTCTACTGTCAGACTTAGAACCACGACATGGCAGTCTGCTCCCCAACGAACGATGCCATCAGCTCCAGCATACGGTGTCGTCGGTCGCAACATCGCCAGAGGCCGGTCCCAGCAAACCATGTTACCACTTCCAGCATGTGGCGCGTCGGTTCGCAACAGACGAGGTCGTCGGTTCCATCATACGATGCTGCCGGTTGCAACATCATCGGAGGCCGGTTCTAGCATCATTGACATATGGTTCCAACAAATGTCGCTCATGATAACTTGCAAAATACGACGCACCAGTTTTTCTCCAAGGAATAAAAGAAGCGCCACTTGTCATTTGTGCACACGACTTAAAATAACACCAGAGTTGATTGTATGTTTCTTTCAGCACGACTACAATATGCTTCGGAGAATGAATATATGGTGATTTAACATCTTACAAAAGTTTACATATGAAGTATATCAAAATTGAAGAAGAAGAAAAAGAATGAATACGGCAAGCTCCCATTTAATAAAGAAAAAAAACTCTCCCCGTCCGAAAATGTAAGATCATTTTGATAGTATAAAAAATGGTCTTATATTTTAGGACGGACGGAGTACTATATGGACAAATCACTAAGCTATATGGATTCAAGAAAACTAAAAAAAACCACTTCCCTCGAAAAATGGAGGGGAAGAATAAAAATGCTAGCCAAACTATGATCAACATTATTAGAAAGGCGCCTGCTAGGCGTCATCCGGTTGATAACTTGCAGTTATAAGCCGCCTTATCTACCGTTCGATATGATTAATCAAGGCCATCAGCTTGTATCCCCGCATCACAGCACACCCACAGCCCCGTGACATTAACTGATACAAACCGTTCAATGGCAGACGCTACCGAGATCAGAGCGAGCTGCGCTTGCCGTCGGCCGCATGGAGCACGGTCGGTGTCGTGGTGGAGCTACAATGGAACATCGCCGGAGGTCACCGCTGCTGTAATGGAGCATCACTTGGCTGACGGTGCCGTGGTGGAGTTGCAACGAAACATCACTGGGGGTCGTCGCTGCTACGGTGGAGCGTCGCCGGACCGTCGATGTCGTGGTGCTGTGATGAAGCATTGTCGAACCGCCGATGTCGGCGGTGCTTCATTGCAACCTCGCCGGAGCTTCCAACGACCGCCGCGACGCTTCACTGCAACCTCGCCGGAGCTTCACTGCAACCTCGCCGGAGCTTCACTGCAACCTCGCCGGAGCTCCAACAACCGCCGTGGCGCTTCATTGCAACCTCGCCGGAGCTTCATTGCAACCTCAGTCGTGCTCCATGGTAGCACCCCGACGGCCGCCAGCGAAGCTTCATTGCAGCGTCACCACTACCACGCGGTCGTGCTCCATCGCAGCACCGCTGCCCGCCTGCCCCGTCAAAGCTCCACCGCAGCACCAGACGGGTGCCGACGAAGCTTCACTGCAGCGCAACGCGATGACGTTGAGGTGCTGCGGCGAATCAGGCGACCGCAATGGCGGATGTTGTGACACAACAGTGCGGCGAGCCGGTGACGGCGATGCTGCGATGCAGACACGGTGGCGACAGAGCTCTCGAGGCCCGATGTTGTGATGCTCCTCTCCTCAACCTCCCCACTGCAGCATGTGCGGCGAGTGGTGACCCGCCTCCAACACCATCATCTTCTGCAGCTCCGGTGGCCACACCGTACCCTCGCCCCCCTTTGGAGCAGCGATGCCCTGCGATGGATCTCTCACATGGGTCCTAGGATTTGTGTTGGAGCTTCGCGAGAGGGAGAGAAGGTGAGCAGGAAGGTTGTTGGCGCCGGCGGCATGGCTCCGGCGGTGGGTTGGACGGGATTGAGGGGTGAGAGAGAGAGGGAGAAGATGAAACAGAGAAGAGATGGGGATGAAGAGAAGTGCTCCAGGAAAGACCAGATCCTTCGGCAAAGAGATAAGGTGGAGGACGCGTGGGCATGTGGGCCTGTGGGACACGTGGCGTGCTGTGAAGGAGGTTTACGAGAGATAGAAATCATTCGGTTGATTGTAAACGTTTTCCTATTAGAAAAGCCCCTGAGATTATCTGAAAGTTAACAGGCTACCAGTTTTTGTCCTTAGTCTTTTCTTATGCAACACAACTCCAGACTTTATTCACAGACACCCTTGGAACGTCGCGAATTTGAAAAGCCCATACCCTTCCCTCCCCAAATCATCGCACACGAAACCGAAGGATCCGGCAGTTGACTCCTCCCCCAATCAGGCTAGCCGGACGCTCCACGCCGGCCGGCATGGACTCCACAGCGACCGGACCCGAGCTCGCGGCGTCCCACGACGAGGAGGAGGCGGCTCCCCTCGTCTCCGGCGCCGGCGACGGCCGCCGCGGCGCAGGCACAGCGTCGCAGACCCGCGACCTGCACCTCCTCAGCCTGGCCTTCTTCTTCGTCTTCCTCGCCTACCACGCCGCCCAGAACCTCCAGAGCACCGTCAACACGGTACGCATCCTCTCATCCCAAGAATTCCCCAGCGCACCCACGCACGCTCGGACGTGACCGTCGGTGGCGTGGCGATACGACTGATTGGCGCCGGCCGCACGGGCTCTCGCACGCAGGACGGCAATTTGGGTTCGATATCGCTGGGCTTGCTGTACACGTCGTTCACGGCGTTCTCGGTCGTGGGTTCGCCGGTGGTGCGAGCGATGGGGTCCAGGCGGGCGCTCGTGCTCGGCACCTCCGGCTACCTCCTCTTCATCGCCGCCAACCTCGCCCCCTCCTGGTATGTACGCTACCACCAAGCCGCTAGCTCCGATTGCTTCTGCTGTAATTTCTCCGTCCTTGGTAGAGTATATTCCTGGCGGTTCCGACGTATCTCGAGCTGACTGAATCTGTGTGGCGAAGATTCGTCCGAGTGACAGTGGAATTTGGCGGTGTAGGGTACAGTACAAAATAGGGGAACAGATAGGTGGTAAAATGACAAATCTACTAACTTGCCGGCTCAGCATTTGCTTTCCACTATGGCGACGTCCCTTTCGTGGTTGCCGTGCAAGCAAAATGAAATGTGTGACCCTACGCCACGCCCCAATGTAGCTGCATAATCTGGTCCGCACGCCAATTTTCAGTTTGTTCTGAATGGGAGTGAAAAAACTCAATTCTCACTGGAAAAAGATGTTTGATATGTGCAACTAAACGTCAACAAATACAAACATGAGGGTTGGGAGCTCCACACGATAGCCACACCAACCAGCCTCGCCGGTCCTTCCCATGCCCACCTCTGCCTAAGAACAATGAGGGTTGACGGCTATTGTCACCAACATTACCGGTGGCGCCTTCCCACGACCATCCCTCTAAGTCCGCGGGTCATAGGGTTTTCCTGTTTGAAGACAATTGTTTTTTAGGGAACTGCCCGAAGACAATTTAACGACATTGGCAGTGAACTCTTTCCCTTCTCTCTTTCCTTCGGCTTGGCCCTTCTCCCTGTAGATAGTCGACACATGGAAAATGAAAATAATAGGAAAATAACAAATAAGGAAAAACAACAAGGTGGACCATGGCCTACAAGGGTCAAGAGAGTCACTAGATCCGAGTGTTTGAACCGAAGAAGATAAGAGAGGAGCGTCTCGGGTCAAACTAACGAGTGCGCCTTAGTATATGGTCTTTGTGAGATTTGTATTTTTTCTTCATTATTTGTCGTATTCATAGTTTAGACTTGTGTGTTAAGTAGATGCACCTACGTAAATGAGTGTGTAGGATGTGCATATGGTGGTCCGTGTTCTTCTGTCGAAGAATGTAAGGCTTGCCGTTGAGAAATGTACAATGAGAACTCAAGTTGGTGTAAACATGGGTAAAACTATGTAAAATGTTTAAATATAACTCCAATAGTGTAGATATATACGATTGGAATACCATTCTGTTGCTAGCTATGAAATTGGAAAGGTAGAACTAATCGCATTCAGATGGTATGGATGAGCCACATTTGATGCTTTAGTCATGCTACAAACCACATAAAGTTTTCAATGTTGAATCGGCTGCCAGATCTAGCTGTAACCCTACGTCTAGTGCTCCCCTCCAATCGTCGTGGATGAACGACGCTATGGCAGTGCCTAGAATCAAAGCCACGATCTTCAACTTGCTTCCGACTTGTTCTCTAGAGGTTTGGATGGGATTCAGGCTCTCTCAACACCGAGTCCGGCTAGCAAGCCATCGTGTACTCTGGATGGAAACCGATGATCTTGCCCTTGGCTTGACCAGGCAACATCAACGTCCATGGTTCATGTTCTTGTTGAAGGTGCTGGCTCGAAACTTTGCTTCAGAGATGAAAATCCCAAGTTCGACATTTGGTTGAACATGTCCAACAGACACACACACGGTGTTCTCTTATAGAAGGCTCTATGTGAGCGTAGCAGACTTGTTGTTGTTTTGTCACAAGTCATAGGGTCTATGGTGGAATTGTGAAGATACCGTTGCAAGATAGGTCTTTTTTGGATGCCTTGAGTTTCACTTTTTTTTTTCTTTTTGTAAACTAATTTGTTCGACATCGATGCTTGGATTTACTTGATATTGTTGACTAATTAATAATAAATGGATGTATGCATCAACCACGTTTTTTTTGCGGGTTGCAGAGGCAGAAGTTGATCACCTTTTTTTGAGAAAAATGAGAGTTTGTACTTCACTCATTTTTGTAAAGAAAATATACACACCCAATTTTGGTTTTAATCTTGTAACATTTTGGCTCATTTCATATCGAGATGGATGCCGAATAACTAGCGGATATTTTCGGCCTGCGCTTGTCCGGTTGTAGTTGGAGTCTTGGAACAGAACAGCTTGGTCGGCAGCAGCCATGCGCGCCTGCCCCCACTTATTTTTTAAAGATCCGATCAGATGTGCCACCTGACAAGTGGAACCGTTGGAGTAGGCATACGAGGATTACCCAAACAGCAACTGGATATGTACGTAAATAGACAAAAGCTCTATGTCCATCGGCGGCAGCATTGGATACGTAGCAAGTTCCAACCACCGTCGCCGTCAGTCGTCACCTTGCAGAAGCTCCAAGCAGGATACCAACAAGGTGTGCAGGCCAGGAACTGAATGCTTTATGTGCTTATATAAGTGCACCGTGGATCTTAAGCTAAGACATGGCGGGCGGAGCGATTAACCTAAGCAAAGCAGGGTTACGATGCTGTCGATGGATCCGTGTCACCATCCTAAATTGGACCATTATAAGTTTGTTTAGGGGAAAAAGTTGGACCATTAAGTTGGCTGTACGGCCTGCCATGCACTCATGGTCTCAAGTTGAGTATTAGGTCCTGTTTGGTTCACAAATTTTAGGATTTTTTTAGTCCCAACTAAAAAGTCCCTAGTTCTTAAAAAGTCGTTTTCAAAGATTAAAAAGTCCCTAATCCCTTTCTAGAGGTTATTAAATGATCATGTTGCCCCTAGTATATAGAATAATAATAATTAAACAACACCATGGGGTGGCGGGCCAATGGATGCATGGAGGGGCATTGTTGAAAAAGTCCCAAAAAGTCTAAAAAAAGACTTTTCTTAAGAGTCTTTTTCATTTAGTCCCAAATGCCTAGTTTAGTTCCTCAAAAGTCCCTTCCGTTTGGTAAAAAATCTCTAAGAGGGATTTTTTCTAGTCCCTACATAAAAAATCCCTGGAAACAAACACCCCCTTACTTCCTTGGTCCGAAATTAGTTGTCGCTTGCTTGAATGGATGTACTGTAGCATTAAATTTCGAACGGAGGGAGTAGATAATTTGGATGATTTGAGTTTTGTGGTGATAGTGAAGTGGGGTTACTTCCAGACAGGCAGATCCTCTAGCTCCACGTGTATCTCCCCTACATTCACATGGCATCGATAAAAAAAATCTTTGTCAACAGACGGCAGATACACCAACAATGCAAAGACAGCGATCGCCGGAAAGATCAGAACAAAAACGGCACACGGCCAAGAAAACGGCAGCAAGATGGCAGGCGCGCACGGCCAAGTAGTTCCCGGCAGCCACGGTCTACGGCTAGCAAGACGAGCCGCTTCCATGCGGGCCCACGCGACGCCTAGTTCTCTCCGCAGTCCGCTCGCTGGCTCGCCGGCCGCCTTCTCCTCTCCTCGGTAACAAAGGAGCGACCGCAGCATAAAAAGCTTCTAGACGCGCCACTGTCGCGCCCAGCTCCCACGCCTCCCCTCCCCTCGCGCTGCTTCTAGAAGCCTCCAGCGATGGACGCCCGCCGCGACGACGAGGAGGAGGCGGCGGCGCCGCTCCTGGCCGCGCCCGCTCCGAGGAGCCACGCCGCCGACGTGCACGTCCTCTCCGCCGCGTTCGTGTGCTTGTTCTCCGCCTACAGCGCCGCCCAGAACCTCCAGAGCACCGTCAACGACGTACGTACGCGCACCTCCCTCCCTCTTTCCCCGCGTCGATCTCGCTCGGTTCGATCCTGATGTGGGTCCTGGCTGCAGGAGGGCGACCTGGGCACCGTCTCCATGGGGGTGCTTTACACCTCCTTCACGCTCTTCGCGGTCGCGGCGTCGCCTGTGGTCAGGTGGCTGGGCGCCAGCCGCGCGCTCGTCATCGGCACCAGCGGCTATCTGCTCTTCATCCTCGCCAACCTGGTCCCGACATGGTGCGTATCGTCACGAGGCGCACAGTCGGACAGACTCTCTGACATGATAGTGCCTCGCTGGTCTGTATAGCAGTGTTTGGTTTGAATGCTTGGTCCCTGCTTGATAGAATGCCTGCCTAGACAATGTTCATTCCCCTGAAAGAAGTTCAGTTAAGTTAGACAGAGTGTCAATTTTATTCGATAATTTGTTGTCTCGTCATGTGATTTTTGTTCGTAGTTGAGACGTTGATTATAGCCAATCGATTTTTATGGGCTGCAATCTCCCCCCTGATTGCTACTTGAATTGTGAGAAGTTTAGGCTCTTTGGCCTTGTTATTAAGATCATGGATTCAAATTATTTCCGTGCTCATTTAGTTCCTGGATTCGTCAGGGCTGAACTTCAGCTGCAGCCTAATTAGTTGACGTGCTGATCTTGGACCAGAACCTTAGTTCTTGCATCAGGTAGAGGCCCAGTTTACTAGGTCGTACATTGTGCATACAATTTATTCTATATTTCGAACAACACAATGAGCCGATGCCCTGTTTAGCTGGAGTTAAAAAAATCTCAACTAACCCAAATAGCTAATTCGGTGAAGTGTATGTTGGTAAAAACCTCGTATTAATCACGAATGGCCTTTGGCCCTATTTGATGTGTTCATAATCCGGTAAAAAAATGGTTGTGTAATATGCCAGTTTGTATTTATTTTCAAGTTCAGTAAATTCAACAATCTGCAATAATGAGACGCCTTTGATGTTAACTTGAACAACAAATTATCAGGTACACAATGGTACCAGCTTCACTGTACCTGGGTTTTACCGCATCAATCATTTGGGTTGGGCAGGTAATAATTTTGCTTTCCAATAAAGTATTTAGTACCCATTTATGTCTGGTTAACGTACATACCCGTTCGCAATGCAGGGCACATATCTTACTTCTGCTGCCCTCAGTCATGCAAGAGACAACAATTTGCCCGACGGTCCAACTTTAGGAAGCTTTAATGGAGAATTCTGGGGTGTGTTCGCTAGCACACAGGTACAAGCTATTTACTATTAAAACATGCATAGAGCTACTTTAGCAGTTGTTCATACCTCAGAGTGTAGTTTCTATTACTTTCTGCACATAGGCACATACCCTGTGCAGCTACAAGGGTACAATGGTCTCTGACATAACGACTTCAATTACGTTTGAATTGTGTAGGTCATTGGGAATTTGATCTCACTTGCTCTACTGAGAAATGGAAAGGTTAGCATCTCAATTTGGATCCTTTCAGTGTCTTATGAGCATCTTGTGGACTGCCATTTTACTTGCACATCATGTGTGTTTGATCCTATCATCTTCATATCACTTCAGGATGGAGGAAGTGTAACAGGAAAAAATCTGCTGTTTGTTGTGTTCCTTGGATGCATGATTATCGGCATTGTATTGATGTGTTTACTGTCCAAAAGGGATGAGAAACGAGATAATGCTTCGACACACTCCTCATTTGGGTCTATGTTGAAGTATATTGTTGCCCCTCTCAAGGACCGTAGGATGATTCTTCTGATCCCTCTTATCGCATATTCAGGTTTACAGCAGGCATTTGTATGGTAAGTAATGGATAATCTTTTCAGCATTGATGGTGGTTCAGCTCTTTCTGTGCCTTTTCTAACAGGATGTGGTTTTCTTAGGGCTGTATTCACAAAGAGTATTGTGACACCTGTGCTTGGCATATCTGGAGTTGGTGGCGCCATGGCAATTTATGGCGCATCTGATGTAGTTGTAAGTGAAACTATTAACTTGGTGTTAACATTATCCAGTACCAGTTCGTGTTCCTGTTTTCATCTGCTGTTGCTTCAGGTTTAGAAAATAGCTAAGTCCACAACTTAAACAGACAACTGTATAAAAACATATCATCTTCCATTTATTTACAGTTTATACACATCATTCTAAACTGCTGGAAAGACCATACTGTATGTTTAGTTGATTGAAGCTCGCTTGACATTGCAGTGTTCATTGGTTGCTGGACGTTTTACCTCTGGGCTTCATTCAGCTACATTTATAGTGTCAGTTGGAGCTATCGTTCAGGCTGTGGTCCTGTTCTGGTTGCTTCTTTTTTACAGGTTTGATTTTTTAAGTTGTCCTTGTTTGCTGTGCTACTCTTCCCGTATCATTGCTATTGCAGTCTACTCATTGTTATCTTGCTTGCAGTCCAATGGAGGGGCTACTTGGTGCAGCGATTCCACTATTTATAGGTGCCTTATGGGGTGTTGGTGACGGAGTCTTGAACACACAGTTAAGCGCATTACTTGGATTGCTGTTCGAGGATGTCAAGGTAATCATACTATGGTTTGTTTTCTCTAGTGTTCCTTGTACAGATACATCCTAGTTTTCCTTATGTACGGATCTTGTTTTATTAGGGTATTCTTAGTTTCTTATCCAAGTGCAGTGGTTTGGCTCGTGGGTCTATTGTTGGTAGGTATTTTCAGAAAAATGAAAATTCATATCTCAACGTTTCAGAATAAAAAAAAATCATATATACACCAAGATGTGGTGTACATACCTGTAAAATTTCATTGATAAATATGTTCATCTGTGCGCTACCAAAAAAGGTGTGGATCTATATAATAGCAAAAACACTTAATTTTGTGTTTCCGGTTATTACCTCACCTTCAGTGAAAAGATATCGATGGCTGCTTCATCTTAAATAAATGCCAGCGGTGTAATGCTTTGATTTCATTTGCTGTGGACCTTGTGTTAATGACGAAATGTATAATTCGACACGTTCTATTTACTGATACAACTAAGTTATCTTAAATAAATACTAAGCTTGTCTTGAAAAATGACAAATGCAGGAAGCAGCTTTTGCACAGTTGAAGGTTTGGCAATCAGGTGCCATCGCAGTCATCTTCTTCTTGAGCCCAAGCATCACACTACAAGCAATGCTTATCTTGATGGCCACAGCACTCGTCATCTCCTTTGGCTTGTTCCTGTTACTTACCCTTGTTGTCGAGAAGCCATCAAGCATCAGAGCATGAGGCAAATCCTATTTCGGTGTGCAGACGGTGTCGTCGTCACCACATGGTTAGTGACCAACAGCATGTACAACCACACTGGTGTATTGACCTGTGATATGAAACTGAGAAGGAAGAGCATCATCATCCATCACGACGCGACGCCATGGCAACGTGCACATCATGCTATTCATGTCAGACATTGTTTGCTGGAGGTCTGAAGTGAAGAGGTTGCAGGCAAAATGTGGGAAGTGAGAGTCGGCCTTGCATTTCGTTTCCTGCCACTTTTCAATCCCCTGTTATTGCCCATGACCGTGTCTTGTTACAGGAACCACATACTCCATTATAATTATAATTTATATAAGAGGCAACATTTCATTCAAACAAGTGATGATATTTTGTGTTGGGGTAACCTATATCTTTCTCTGTCTTTCCATATGGGCCATGATCCACCTGCAAAATAGTCTTCCTTTTTTTGCGGGGAACCTGCAGAATAATCTGACTGACCCGATATCGGCCCAAGCAAACAGGCCCAAGTTCTAACTGAAACTGTTGGTAAGTTCTGTTTTTCCTTTTCGTTTGAGGAATTAAGTTCTGAAATTTGATGTTTGTCAAGTGCCCTGCCTTTCCATTTCCCAGTAGCTACAAATATTATGGAACACTACGCAATACGCATAGTTGAAGGAACACAATAGCATTGCAACAGAGATGAAATTAAAGGAGTGGTACTAGAGAAGGAATGAGAGCAACACCCAGAAAATCAAGTGGGATACATGTTCCTCTGTTTATTCATGGTACATCACACGGGAGACACACTGACGCAAAGATGGCTCACACGAACAAACTGGAGACAACACGTACAGAGACGGAGGGAACACATGCAATACATTACTAACCATTACCGGAGACAACTTAAGCACCAACACCCATGCAAATGCAGGCAGGCTAATTCTCCATTACCAAGCGGCTGCTGACGAGCCTCCCTCCCGTCAGTTGAAGTAGCCTGACGGCGAACGTGGCGGCTGCTTCGGCTGCGAGGACGATTGTTCCGGCGTCTGGGGTTTGGGGTCCGGCTTCGGGCTGGGGCCCGGGGCAGGCTTTGGGTCGGGCGTGGGCTTGGGGTCAGGCTTTGGCGCCGGTCTAGGGTCGGGCTGCGGGTCTGGTTTGGGGTCGGGTTTGGGTGCTGGGTCAGGTTTCGGCGCCGGTTTGGGGTCGGGCTTGGGTGCTGGGTCAGGTTTCGGCACCGGTTTTGGGTCTGGTTTCGGGTCAGGTTTTGGCGCGAGTTTAGGGTCGGGCTTGGGTGTCGGGTCAGGTTTCGGCGCGAGTTTAGGGTCGGTCTGCGGGTCTGGTTTGGGGTCAGGCTGTGGCGTAGGCTTCGGCTCTAGGCTGGGCTCATGTTTCAGCTCCGGCGCCCTCCCAGCGACGGCGAGGCTAGCAACATTTGCCGCGACGAGGGCCAACAGCAAGCACAGCGAGAAGGCGGATGCCCTCATCGTCGCCGATCACTAGCTAGCTGCTCACAGCTCACTCAGCTCACTTGCTTTGTAGTATGTGTCTCACACTTGGCTGTGTGAGTGTGTGGCGGAATTAGTAGAGGATTTATAGGCCCGGCGAGCGTGCCAACACCGGACGCGTGTCCATTGCCTTTGCGAGCCCGTGACCGGCACGGTGACCAGCTACAGTGTCATCTCTCAGCTTTTGTTCATGTCACCTTTGCATGGCATGCGCGCACCGGCCAAATCATCCAGCAGAAAAGAGCCAAAGGATCCACGAGACGGCATGGATCGACGGACACGTACGCGGGCATTTTGCGAGATCTAGGACCCCGTCCGGACACGAACAAGTGGCACGTACGCATGCATGCAAAGAGCCGGTCCCCGCTCCACCTTCGTCTTCGATTGTCTCTGCTTTTGCTATGCGTTCCTTCTCGATTACTCGATCCATCTTAGAGACATAAACCGAGCCAAAATGCTACCCCCTCCATCCA